AGCTCGTGCCTATCATCTTGTTTTTTTAGGGCTAGAGCCCAAATCCTCTCAGAAAGGCCCTTCAAAGTAGAGGTAATAAATAAATCTTTTACTTCAACGTTTTCTGTACACTTATGATCTGTATACTTATCTATTCATGCAACTTGAGATAGTCTGTGCTCTTTTTTCTCCCTTACAAAATAGATCTAATAATTACTTTCAGGGTTTTATTAGACAACATATATAAAGCACTTTTTCATTATTATTGACATTGACAACAAATGTATTGGCTTTCACGTATGCACACTCTTCATTAGCAACAGTGCACCGCTGACAAAGGCATTATAGTTGACAGACAAAATGAACCACTGGGAATTCATCTGATTGCTAGCAGCAGTAGTTAACAGCAGCTGATGTTCTTAGTGCCTTACAGATACTTCTGTCATCTAGCTCAAACCCAGGGCCAGGACTAAAGGCTATAGAAAAGTAGCTTAGGAAATTTTACAGATATCCCACTAATAAAACCAAAGCAGAGCTCCAAGAGTTTATTATGACTTACTAAAACATTATGGGTTCAGATCAGGGTAATATTCTTAGGAGTGAGAATCTTTCTAGTCCTGTGTCTAGCCATTTAACTGGAAGCTAAGTTTATCTGCTACATCAATGCTAAGAACTAAACGCTAAAACTAACCTAACATGGATAAGGTAGAAGGGAAATAAAGACAGACGAGGAAACCGGAGAGAGATTTTTAAAGGAAAAAGACTATTATGTTTTGTGGTAGTAGGACACCTACCACAACTGACAGGTTGTGCACTTTTTTCTGCCACCTATTTCTTCATTGCACGTGTATGAGCTGTTTCCTACAAAGTACCCCAAGCAAAGGGATACTTCATACTGTCATCACATGGGGGAAAGAGTAATATCAACATTCTAACACATATGATACCATCATAAATACTAGAAAAACCAGGGGCGCCTGGGTGGCTCAGCTGGTTAAGCATGGGACTCTTGATTTCCACTCAGGTCATAATCTCACAGTGGTGAGCTTGAGCCCCACGTCACCGGGCTTCTTTCATGCTGAGCATGGAGCCTGCTTTAGATTCTCTCTCTCCCTCTCCCTCTGCTTTTCCCCTGCTTGCACTCTCTCTCAAAAAACAAAACAAAAACAAGCAAACAAAAACCCCAAACCTAGAGAAAGCAGCCCCCTCTGGGTAGAACAATTAGAAAAGCCCACCTGTGCCTCTGGGCTAAGCCTGCAGGGACTGAATAAGGCCTCTACTCACCCCATTTTTAACTGAATACAACCTGCCTAACCATATGCAGTAGCCTTACATCCAAAGAAAGGAAACTTGGTTAACCCTATGGCACAGAACAGAGAACTTACTTTTAGTAAGATGCTGATTATACAGGCTGTTCCAAGCGATCCAGTTCCTATAATGGAGATCTTATTGTGATGAATGGCCTCCTCTGAAGTGAAATTCTTAAGAAGTTCACCTTGATAGTCGCCATCTTGGAAACCTAACAGAGTGAGGAAAAACTGCAAAGCCACTTCCAAATTTGGTCTGCAGTGAGAGTGGGCATATAGAAAACTCCCGGGTCCCCTGGGGGAAGGAGGTGCTGCAGACCCAACAGGGAATGACAAAACTGACTAGCAAAGAAGCTGGGTAGTTTCTAGCCAGCCGCCCAGCATCCAGAGGTAAACCAAGGGAAGGAAGAGGAGGGTGGAACAGTTAAGAGGGATTAAGAATTAGTGAAGGCAAAGGGGCGGCTTCACCAAAAGTGACACGACAGTCAGGACAGCTCTTCCTCCCCTCACCACCCCAGTTTTCCCCCTCGCCCAGCTCTTGGCTCCAGAACCCAGCCCAGACTCCGTAAGTCCAGGGCCGAAGACTGCCAAGCACGCAGTAATTCCGGCCACATTCACGCAGGTGAGAGGGCCAGCCACCTCTGACAGGGATGTGTGCAGGCTGCAAGGGACACAGAGCCATCCTCAGGCAAAAGAAATTCACTCCCGCGGCGACCACGCTGCAGCTCATCTACAGAACTCCCACAGCCCAGCTCATGGCCTCCCCCTCAAGAGGCAGATGAAGAGAATGGAGGAAAACCGCAGAAAAGCTGGTTGAGGCCTCAAGAAGGAAAACCATTGGCTAGTGAGGCTGCGCAAGGCCGCGGGCCTCGTTTTGGTCATAGCACACCTGGCGCAGAAGCGAGGCCAGAATGAGGGTTCTGGTGCATCATGCCTGGCCTGTGCCCGGCCTGCGCCTGCAGCTTGTCACCTGCACCAGTGGAGGGCTGCCATTTTTGTAGTTGGCGGGTTTCAGGGAGGCTCCTTGGGCTCCTGGGCTCAAAGAGCACGAGGTGCAAAAGATAACAATGAATTAGACAGCCTCCAGCTATCAAATGGGGTACCACTTGCCCAAAACCCATCCACTGGAAAGCCCAAGTAAATGTATTTCTAACCAAACCTTGTCTGGATGTATCCAATAGGACTTTTTGACTCTCCGTTGCTAACTTTTTCCCAGAGATGCAGAAGAAAGGGACCTCAGTGCTACTTTTAACCACCCACAAAGCGAATAAGTAAAAATTTAAAAACCTGCTATGCAAAGGGGCTTTTTAAATAAAATATGAAACCCTAAGAACTTGATCAGTGCAGGGCTACTTGATAACAATTTTCACAGGTGTATGGGAAAGCTCAACTCATTTATGGGGTAGTTAAATGCAGAACCCAAAATTCCCCTCTCATCCTTTAGTCTGGGATACACCAAGGCTTCTGTTCTCTTGTCCCACCACGTTCTACCTAATTAAGTGTTTCCTAACTCATTTGTGAATCGTAATACATAATACACATCTGACAAATTCTTTTCTAAGAAGTAGAGCAGCTGTTTCTCAAACTTTTTTTCATTCTCTCTCCCTCAAGGGCCTTTTTAGACATTTTCCCCCAATCGTTCAGCTCCACTCACCCCACCATGAAATTAAATATTAAAGAATAAGAGGTGCCTGGGTGGCTCAGTCGGTTAAGGCTCCCACTTCGGCTCAGGCCATGATCTCACGGTTCTTGAGTTAGAGGCCCCGTGTCAAGCTCTGTGCTGACAGCTCAGAGCCTGGAGCCTGCTTTGGATTCTGTGTCTCCTTCTCCCTCTGCCTCGCCCCCCTCACCCCCCCCCCCCACCTGCTTGCACTCGTGCTCTCTCTGAAAAATAAACTTAAAACTTTTTTTTAATAAATATTAAAGAATAAGAGGGGCACCTGGCAGGCTCAGTCAGTCGGTGGAGACTGCAACTCTTGATCTTGGGATTGTGAGTTTGAGCCCCAGGTTGGGTGTAGAGATTACTTAAAAATAAAATCTAAAAGTAATAATAATAAGATGTTGTCTGCTAGGGTTGAACTTTAGGGTTTAGAAACCCTTGTAATATCTGTTTTTTCCACCAACCCCATAACCAATTTAACCCTCTTGGGGTGATATTGCCCCCTGTTGAGAATACACGATGTAGAGCAGTTTTACTTCCTACAGTATTCCCACTGAAACTATATTTTGCAGGCTTTGAATACCTGCAAGCATTTACTAAAATGAAGTTTTAATTTGGTGTACAAAGAACAGCTTTTTAAAAAAAAGGAAAAATCCACAGAAGACCCCTCTATCCCTGCTATCCTAACTAACCTCTCTGATGATCCTGTTTGTGCATTCAAGGGAAGAATTGAAAACAAGGAAAAAGAACAAAATATTGGGAAACTAATCATGTTCAGCAGTAGAGGACCGGAATGAAAACTATTCAAACAGCAAGAATAAGAGTATGAACTGTGACTCTCTGTCCAGTGTGAGCACCTCCACGAGAGCACACGCTATAAGTCCTTAGGGCCTGCATATGTCTTCTCATTTTTTGCCCTGGTCCCGTCCTAGTCTATAAATTACTTTGGTCCTGATTTCTTTGTTTTTGTTCAGTTGTGTATTTCTTATAGCTACCTTAAATTGTGAAATCAAGGAAATATTTCATGTATGTGTGTGTGGCATATGCATATATATATTAGAAATACATGCACTCATATACATATACATCAATAATCAATTAGTTGATGGGGCACCTGGGTGGCTCAGTCGGTTGAGCATCCGACTTTGGCTCAGGTCACGATCTCGCAGTCCGTGAGTTCGAGCCCCACGTCGGGCTCTGGGCTGATGGCTCAGAGCCTGGAGCCTACTTCCGATTCTGCGTCTCCCTCTCTCTCTGCCCCTCCCCCATTCATGCTCTGTCTCTCTCTGTCTCAAAAATAAATAAATGTTTAAAAAAAATTAAAAAAAATAATAATAATCAATTAGTTGAGGTGCCCTAAATACTGTGAGATACTTGAGGGCATAAATCATGTCATATTGACCTCATGACCATAATACAAACAAGCGTACCAGAAGTTTGCTCCACAAATGACTTAGAGAATGGTCTAAGCTCCCTGTGTGGTATTTCAACAGAGACACCAAATCAGCTATTTGAGTTCATATGAATTGGAATAATACTTACAGGTTTGAAAACATTTAATTTTGATTATGCCATTGAAGTTTTATTTCTGTTTCTTTCTGTTATACATGGACTTTAACGTACCCGGTGCAGATCACACATAGACACACAAAGCTAATGAAGCAATATAAACTGAATATGCCTGTGCCCTAATGGAAGAATGAAATTTCAATGCTAGAAAAAGTGCTGGTTGTTTTATGGGAAGAATCATAAGTTTTATATTATAAAGGATTATTATACATACTCTACCAAACTTGAAGTCAACTCATATATAGCATACTTCAGAAGTATTACTTGCATATGTATAGGTTATCATTAGAACAGAGTTGTAAGAGATTCATAAAGAGGGGAAATATTTTTACCATTTCCTTTTTCTAGCCTTGAGGGACTGAAGTTATGTCATGGGTTTCCAATGTTTTTTTTAAATTTTTTACAAATCAAATGACAATACTTTCAAAATAGAAAATATACAGTCTGATATCTTCTTCTATAAAACAGTGGAACATTAAGAGGCTTTAAAATACCAGCTCTTTTTGGATATTCCAAAGTATGTCTGCACTCTTCTTAAAAAGGGCCTCCTCCTCAGAATTCAAGTTAACTTTCACAATATCTGAGACACCATTTTGTCCCAAGACACAAGGGATACTGAGAAAGATTTCTTCTTTTAATCCATATAAGCCCTAAAAGGCAAAATTAGATTATTGTTCAGTAACCTGATATGGAAAAACAGCTAATGCAAAAGTGCTTCAGAATAAGAGGATACCAGAGCTCAACTAGAATCAGGGGGTGGTAGAGTAATTATCAACAATCAAATCCTAGGGGGGTCTGGGTGGCTCAGTCTGTAAAATGTCTGACTTTGGCTCAGGTCATGATATCGTGGTTTATGAGTTCAAGTCCCACATCGGGCTCTGTGCTGACAGCTCAGAGCCTGGAGCCTGCTTTGGATTCTGCATCACCCTCTCTCTCTCTCTGCCCCTCCCTTGCTCATGCTCCGTCTCTGTCTCTCTCTCTCTCTCAAAAATAAATAAACGTTAAAAAAAAAACTTAAAAAAAAACCAATACCAATCTTAATGTCCTATGACTCTGTGGAGTTTGTGTTCAATGAAATAAAGAGCCTACCAGAGGCCTTCAAAGGGACCAAGAAAGGCAACATCTACTTCACCCCCTACCAGGTCCATCTTTCTGTCCAAAGGAAAGATACCATCTGGTCCTTCATGATGCCATTTTATCTACTAAGGACTGCAAAATCAAGCAGCCTGTGTTTGGTATAAACTACATCAAGAAAACAGTGAAGGTTGAAGGAGGAACTGGCTGGGAAGACCACTTTGTGTAAGTTGACCTTTACACCAACAGGCACCATTGAGTTGGACAATAGATGTTACAGGTGACATCTCAATCTTCTAAAGGTGAAGCCTCCAATGGAGCCTACAGATACTCTCATATGCCCAGCAGGGCCTTTGTCTTTCCCCTGCCAATTACAAACAGAATATGCCCTTACCCTCCTGGCTACTTCTATCCATCACCCCCATCTGACTTCTATCCAGAACCTCCCATGATGAACATGGAATAGTTGCAACCATGGCGACCACCCTATTCTGGGCTTATGGAACCTCCAGCCAGCAGCCCTGATGTTCCCTCTACTCCTGTAGCTTAAGCCAAGGCCACAGAAGCAGCTGCCAGAGCCAGTTACAACCTGGACAACAAGCACAATGCCTACATGCCCACAAACCAGTTTCTGCCACCTTCCTACTACCCCATGGAAGATAAGACCCAGTAGACACCTCCCTGCCTTCCATCCCTCCTTGCTCTTTCCCATCTATCCCTTGGGGTTGACTTTAGGGTTGGAAGAGGCAATGGGAAGGTCTTGTTCTTCCTCCTGCCTTCCTTATAATTAAACATTACCAGGAACTAGCATGGAGGGAAGGAAGAGGCCCCTTGACTATGAAGTCGTGTTTCCCAGCTTCCCACAACAGCCCAGAGTCCACAGGTGCTACTCAGCCAAGCTTCCCTCTCACCATCTTTGGGGATTTCCTCAGGATCTCAGGGTGTGCCCCTTGTTCCTATCTCATTCTAGTCTCCCACAGAGGGCCTCTGGTCACCTCTTCCACCACAGCCCAGCTCCCTCATTTGGGTAGGCATTTTATACTCAACCTCACAAGCTCCATCACATCAGCCACATGTCTTCTTCTGGGGGCCCCAGCCAGGCTATACTCACATTTCCTCCACTCTGGTCTGTCCCTATCCATGGAAGGCCACAGTCCCACCAGACTGTCAGCCCACATTCCATTCCCAGCCAGGGGTCAGCTTCAGTTACATTCACCTTCCCTTCCTTTTCCTGTCCTTTGTCATTCTGTTGCCACCTCTGTGCAACTTTTGGAGCTTTAACATGAGTTGCTAGGGATTGGGTGGAATCAGAAACAAGGCCACTGTAGCTGAGGAAGAAGCCCCTCTGTTCCCTATTGGTGTTTTGGGAATTTGTTTCCCTCTACTTTCTCTGTTTCTCTTTCGTCTAGAAGGGGCTTCTAGGACTAAAATTGAAGAATGTATGTGCATCCCATCATGACACTTGGGGCTGTTGAGTGGGCTGGAAATAAGGCGCTTGGCCCCTGGGGCCTGGCCTTGTCTGGTCCTGTGTGATGACCATGACCTGCTACCCAGGCCCCTCTTCTCTTTAAGCTTCATGCCTGGTTGGCAATATGACCCTTGAATACACTAAAATTGGCTCTCATTTGCTCCTGGATTGGCCATGAAATGAGGAAATGGCTACTTAAGAAAATTCCCTGTTTATTTGAAAAAAAAAAAAAAAAACCCAGTCAACATATTAATATGAAATAAACTGTACCCTTATTTGTTGAAAATGTGAAGTAATAAAACTGAAGTAGCTGGGGTAAAAAAAAAAAAAAAAGAGTATATGAATGATTATGCTCTTAATGTCAAATGTTTATTTTCCTATAAAATATAACTTATCCATTGATTTGCTCAGTAAAAATTATGAAATTTCCATATTACTCAATCTCACTCTCTTCTCAGAGCATCTGACACCTCCTTGACTCCTCCTCAGGAGCAACCTCAGGGTAATTAATTGCTTATTCTCCCGCAGCCCCTGTGTATCCTCAAAAGAGGAGGGGTGTGTATCCATTGTGTACTCATTGTCTCTTTCAAAAACAGTAATCCCCTACTCTCTTAACATTTCCCCTATTTTTTTGAGGCTCATCTTATTCAACTCTTCTTCCTTAACGATCACCTTCTAACCTCTTGGCCACTCTGTCTCATTCATAAAAGACTGACACCTGGCTCACAATCTTCTCTGTCCCAGTTTCTGTGATTACTCTTGGTGACTTCATTGTTCATGTGGGTAAACTAACCATAAACAATTCCCTTTCCAGTTTCTTGACTTCTTTATGTCACAGAACCTTCTCTTCCCACCCCAAGTATCCTACTGTGGACATTGTTACGGGTTCCTCCATATCCAACTTAGATCCCATGATTCATTCTGTGACCCTTTCACCATATACTAAGACCCTCTGCTTATTTTAATTTTTATTTTATAAATAGTTCTTAAATTCCTTATTATTCATTTTCTTTTTATAATGTATTCATTTGTATGTAGATCATATTGGAGGGCAAAGGTCTTGAATTTGTCTGTGACCCTTTAGCAGAAAGTCAAACCTATTTTTAACATGTATATAAGCCAAAAGCTACACCTCCACCCTTCCCTTCCTCTTTCTCTCCTCACCCCCTCTTTCACACTCCACAAGTAAAACCCATGCCCACATGAATTCAGCTATGCTCTCTCTCCATTCCTGTGCTCAGATCCCTGGAGAAAACTACACAATAAAGTTGATCTTTAACTCACATTACAAATTAATGCACACCAACCTCAAATAAGCATCCACCTAACAGTAATTCTGCTTTTTTTTTTTTTTTTTTTTTTTTTTGGTCAACTTCTATCTACAAAGACGACTTCAAATCTTCTCAAACATCTGACTTTTCTATACATCCCCTGATTCTCAGCAGATGATTTTGTCTCCTTTCACTAAAAAGACAGAAGTCATCAGATGCATCCAATGCCAAACTTACAAATCTACAGGATTCGCTGCCTATCCTCTCTTTATTACCTCCTGTTACAATAGCTGTCTCTCCTCCTGTCTAGGACTAATACCTTCACCTATGGTCTGGATCCCACTGCCTCTGCTTATTACTTCTATCTTCAATATCTTCTTTACTATCAGAATTTTATCTTTGAAAAAAGAAATGAAAAAAAGGCAGGTGCCTGGGTGGCTCAGTTGGTTGAGTGTCTGACTCCTGATTTCAGCTCAGGTCATGGTCCCAGGGATGTGGGATTGAGCCCCTCACTGGGCTCCACACTGAGTGTGGAGCCTGCTTAAGATTCTCTCTCTCTCCCCCTCTGACCCTCTCCCCCACTCACATGCTCTCTCTCTCTCTTCTCTCTGTCTCTCTAAAGTAAAAAAAAAAATTTTTTTAAACAAAAAACGCAAACTTGCCTGGCCTTGATTTTCCTCTTCAATTATTACTCTCTTTCCTTACCTTCACAGACAAATACCTCAAAAAAGCTGTTTATACTTGTCTTAATTTCCACAGAGGTTCTCAAGGGACCCTTCCAAGGGACATTTGGCACTATATGGAGACATTTTTGATTGTCAAAAATGGGGAAAGAGGGTATGCTACTGGGTATCCATTTAAGTGAGTAGGCTGAATGCTAACATCTCACAATGCACAGGACAGCCCTCCAACAATGAAGAATTATCCAGCCCAAAGTCTATAGTGCCAAGGCTAAGAAAACCCTAGTGTGCTCCAATCAGACTTTCATTCCTTATGACTTCATTAAACTGTTCCTGCTAAGGTTATCCATGACCTCTGTCACTTTATCCCCCTGTCATTTTTTTTAAGTTTATTTATTTATTTTGAGAGAGAGAGAGAGAGACACAGTATGAGTGGGAGAAGGGCAATGAGAGAGGGAGGGAGGGAGGGAGAGAAAGAGAGAGAGAGAGAGAGAGAGAGAGAGAGAGAGAGAGAGAGAGATTCCCAAGCAGGCTTTGTGCTGCCAGCACAGAGCCCGGTGTGAGGCTCGAACCCATGAAGCTACAAGATCATGACCTAAGCTGAAACCAAGAGTTGGACACTTAACCAACTAAGCCACCCTATCCTCCTGGCATTTTTAATCCTCATTTATATGACTTCACAACATCAATCAACAATAGAAAACCAATTCTTTCATCTTTAAAACATCCTCCTGTCTCTTGGTTACCATGATTCCATGTTCTCTTGGTTTTTCTTTTAATTCTCTGGTCACCACTTCTTTTAATTTTTTTTTTCCCAACTTTTTTTAAATTTATATTTGGGACAGAGAGAGACAGAGCATGAACGGGGGAGGGGCAGAGAGAGAGGGAGACACAGAATCGGAAACAGGCTCCAGGCTCCGAGCCATCAGCCCAGAGCCCGACGTGGGGCTCGAACTCACAGACCGCGAGATCGTGCTCTGGTCACCACTTCTTTTTGACTTTGTGGACTCACACTATATAAACTCAACTTTTTAAAAATATTTATTTTTGAGAGACAGAGAGAGACAGAGCATGAGCAGGGGAGGAGCAGAGAGAGGGAGACACAGAATCTCAAGTAGGCTCCAGGCTCTGAGCTGTCAGCACAGAGCCCAACGCAAGGCTTGAACCCACGAACTGCGAGATCGTGACCTGAGAAGTCTAATGCCTAACTGACTGAGCCACCCAGGTGCCCCTAAACTCAACTTTTAACACTGGAATTCCTCAAGACTCAATCTCAATCTGTCTTCTCACTTTATTATGCTCTCCTTAGGCAAGTTCATTAACATTCCTGGCTTCAGTTACTATGTGTAAGGCATATCTGTTGTCTGTACCTGTCCAGCTTCTCTTCCTTTGTTGTTGTTGTTGTTGTTGTTGACAGAACCTCTCTTTCCCCTTCAGGAACCGTCTCTCTCCAAACTGACTCACATTTAGAACTCCAACCCAAAGCTCTTCTACAAGTTCCAGAAGCTTGTACCCAACTGCCTATTTCCTCTTGGATATTGCAAAACACCTGAAAATGAACTTGTCCATAACTGCAAACATGAACTTTAAACGTGGCTCTCCTTGAGTATTCCCTTCCTTAGTGGCTACCACTATCTATATATAAAGGTGGAAAACAGAAACCCACAAATGGCCTTTCTTTTCCTTATTTCTCACTTCATTCCACTACCAAGTCTTATGAATGTCACCTCCTAAATACAGTATCTACAAATTTATCCCCTTCTCTTCGCCTCGACTACTATCATTTCTATTCTGAGCTACCGCACATCCTCTTGACAAGTTTCCCCATGTTTACTCTTGTCCTTTTCAAATCTGTTCCCTCCACCACAGCCATAGAAATCTTTTTAACATGAAAACTTGAAAAGAAATAAATTCTTTTAGTGGTTTTCCATAGCTCTACAGTAAGGACTCAAATCCTTTCACAAGGCTTTCAGTGGACTAACCCTGCTTATTTCTCCAGCCTAACCATGCACTTCCCTTTGCTGTCTGCATTTCAACAACTGACCTTTTTTTCAGAACTTCAAGTACCCTCTACTTACATCTACCTCAGTTCCTCTGTACATGTATTGCCTCTGTTTTGACTACTAGTTCAGCCTTCCAAATTAACTCCTACTCAATCAGAATAGGTCACATTTACTTCCTTAGGAAGGCTTCCCTTAACATCACCCATGCCACCACCCAGGGTAGCTAAATTCTCTTCTTGTACACTCTTAAGTACTTGGTAATTTTTCATCATAGAATTTATCATAATTTGTTAATATATATTTCCTTTTATAATTGTTTTATTAAGTCCATTTCTTTCATTAAACTCTATGAGATTAGGGCTTCTCTTTTGTTTGTTCACTATATCCTCAACATCTTGCGCAATGCCTGGCACATAGTAGGTACTCAAAAATGTTAAAGAAAAGATGATAAATGAAGATTCGACTTAAGCCTACCTTAACCATAGTAGAAACTGGATGCACTCTCCTCAGATTTTTCAAAATTGATCCTACCAGATCTGTCACAGATAGTCCAATAGCCCAAGAGGTATACCCTTTCAGCTTGATAATCTGATAGCCACTACAGTTGTAGAAAGTAAAAAAAATCAAATTTATGGGATGTCAACTTAGAGAACACATATTATTTTTCAGGCATCCATTTTGAAGCAACCTACATGTCAGTGCCACTCTCAGAGATTTCTTCCAAAATTATTTACCAATAGCCAATAGAAATTTCTATACTAGTCTCATAAACATTATTTGCTTTAAATAATAATTTATACACCCTTCTCTTATCATAAAGGCAGAATACTAGGACATATGTGCGACTAAAGATGAAACTATTTTTATATATTTTTTATTGTTGTTTAAATCCAAACACAGAATCTGATCATCTTGAAAGTTAACATATACATCTTGCTGACCACTTAAAATTATTACTAGGGTGCCAATGTAACTTTATATAATTGTAAGCCAGGTGTACATATTTTTCATAAGAATACATCATTAAATCAACAATATATGGAAATATGGGGAAATGTTCATGACACATTTTCAAAGGAAAATAGCAAAGTCCTAAACATTATGCAATTTCTTATCTCAGTCTTGTTAAAAACATAACACGGTTTATAAGAACTTTAGAACTGCATCAGTCCACAAAGTTATTAACAGTGATTATTTTTAAGTGGTATTACAGGTGATATCATCTTCTCTACACTTCTCTGAATTTTCTTATTTTCTACAATGAATATGTATCATATCCTTGCACTGCCACCAACAGATTTGGATTGACAGTCAAAGTCAAAGAACAAAGAGGTTTCAACTTAGCACTGAGTTTATTTAGTTCTCAGAAAAGGATCCAGGACAGGAAACAGAATGTTCAACATCATTATTCATATCAGCGGGTCTTACATCCATGGAAGCACTGTTGCAAGGCCCCAGGACTGCACACAATACACTTGGTAGCAAAAGATAAGACTGATCCCCTCAACACAGAAAAGCTGGGACTGGACTGGACTTACTGTGGTATTGTAATTTGACTATCAATCCAAAACCAGGGCACAATGAGGGGGCATGAGGATTGCTGTCAAATTTAGGACTAACTTCCAGACTCTCAATTCAATATGACCAAGACTCTGTGGGGTAAGTAAAAAGGAAGGGAGGGAGGCTCTGCCTAGTGATTGATTGATTGATTGATTGATGAAATATGAGTTGAAGAAAGCTCTGCAGTAAATAAATGGGGAAAGATCTTACCAGTGGAATCTGGATGACAGATTTATTTTTTCAAGAATCAACAAAATGGATTGACAAAGAGAAAGGGTTGAAAATAGAATAGTTAAATATATAATCCTTTAGTTGTCATTAACCATCCTAATGAAAATAAAACTGCTGGCATAAAAAGAAGTAGGCAAAGTGAGCATACAGAACAAGCATTTTTAAGCTATTATATTAAGACAAAAACTAATTGCTCTATTGGAAACCTGGAAGGACATCCTATTAAATCATGATGTTATTACCCTACAATCGGTTAGGCACTAGAAAATCAGAGGCTATGACATAAAAGTGGTAAGTTGTTTTTAGATAAGTACTAGCAGTATCTCAGGATTCTTTATAATTATAGATCCTTTGCTAAATGACCAAGGGGCAAATAATTTAATTTGGACACTGCATTATTGAGAGGACTAACTGGAATAAGTACTGATCTGTAATATGTTGCAGTATTTGGTTTTTAAATCACGCAGGACTTCAGTGGAAAAGGTGGTCTTAATCATTATTCCCTTATAGCAACAGTGTTTCAAATTGAACATTCCCTGGGGTACGATGATTAGGAATTTGGTAGACAAAGACTAACACTGTAACATCCCTGTAAGAAGTAGATGGGCTGCTCCATGACACTTGGAAACCAGTATTGGCTAAAACATATTCCTTAGGGCATGGGTTGTGGTTCTGCCTCTGTATCAGATTGATTCCTGAATTTGTTGGGAACTGGCCCTCACTGGCCCCTATATCTAGAAATACATGGCATATGGGTAAGGACACTTGTGTTGAAAAGGGTAGGAAATGATACTGTAGTATTAACATAATTATATGCTAGACATTAACTTAAAAGTGATTTCTAAGGTCTAGAAGTTCTACTAACATGTAACTTGGCTAAAGCATGAGGAAGAATCATGTAAGCTATTAAAGCTGATGTATATGGAGTCAGACACTTCACTTACAAGTAAAATTAGCTAACTTCTGATCATCCGATCAGTTTCATGTTTTTTTCATCAAATCATTTGATAAACACTTAATAATTTCTAAGTACTGTTCTACCTATTTTACTCTACTAACTCATTTACTCTTCATAATAATTTTCTAAGGTAGGTTCTCCTATTATCCCCATTTTAAATATGAAGAAAATGATGTGCAACATTATTTACAATAGCCAAAATATGGAAGCCACCCAAATGCCCATTGATAGATAAATGGATAAAGATGTGGTGAAATATTACACCACAGTGGAATATTACTTAGCCATAAAAAGAATGAAATCGTACCATTTGCAATAACATCGATAAACTTAAAGGGCACTGCTAAGTGAAATAAGACAGAGAAATAGTGATACCATACAATTTCACTTATATGTGGAATATAAACAACAAAACATACAAACAAACAAAAAACAGACTCTTAAGTACAGAGAACAAACTGGTAGTTGCCAGCGAAGAGGTGGGTAGAGGGATGGGTGAAATAAATAAAAGTTATTAATAGATATAAACTCCCAGTTATAAAATAAATAAGTGATGAAGATGAAAAGTACAGCATAGAGAATATAGCCAATAATATTATAATAATGTATGATGACAGATGGTGACTATATCTACTGTGGGAGCACTAAGTAATACATAGAAATGTCAGTCAATATCAGCATGTTGTATACCTGAAACTAGTATAACATTGTATGCTAATGAAACATCAATAGAAAAAAAAAAGATGAGGGAACTGAGCTTTTAATATTTTAAATACGTTCTCAATATCACACCACTAATAAATGGTGAAGCCAGGTTTCAAGCCTGAGCACCTTGGTTCAAAGTCCATGATCAAAATCACTGTGATATATTACCCTCAAACACAAATGAGTTCTTATAAAATGATAAACAGATTTTCCTTTTGAAAAACAATCCCCAAAGAAAGCTATGCAGAATATAAGTCTAAATTTGGGAATTTCCAAAAAGTTAGAATTCTTTATCTCACAAAAAGCAAAGATCAACCATAGACTTTTTGTGTGTGAATCTTACTCTTAAAACTGATTATTAAGGCACTGAGACACTGAATGAGTACTGTTACCTTTCAATAACTTGTTTATGGATATTTTTCCATTGGTCTTTGTCTGAATCAGTTCCTAGTTTAGGGTCTAGAGTCTTCAGGGCAACACCAGCAACATTCACCCCACTCCATAAGGGCACTAAAAGAAATAGATCTCAGAATAAATTCTTCTTCCCCATACTGTATCAGTTGTTTGAGTTCAATGGGTTTACATTTTAAAGTTAGGTAACTACCTTACACATAATATAAAAATAAGTTTAAGTGGACAAAATAAAGAAATATAAACAAACAAAATTATAAAAATATATTTTTTAATTTTTAAAAATTTATATTTTTTATATTTAAAAATTTATATTTTTTAAAGTGTTAGAAAGATATGTAGAATTATTTTATATTTGTGTGGCATAGAAGGCATTTTAAAGCAAGATGCAAATACAGAATCCACAAAGAAAAGGATTGATAAGGAAATATAAAATATCATAAGCAACTAGACAGAAAAGAGCAACAAATTAATACTACTCAATAGTAACAAAGAGCTGACAGGGAATAACCGTCAACCTAGAATCTCATATCAGTTAAACTGTCATTCAAGAATGGGGTGAAACTAAAACACTTCTGCATAAACAAAACTGACAGGATATACTTCAAGAAAAAAAAAAAAATCTCCAGAGAAGAGAAACACTCATAGACTTTTAAAACAGCTATATGTTACATGCATTGTTTTATGAGAGGTAGCTAAACCCATGAACAGAAGACAAAGTAGAGGAATAGAAAAATACACCAGGGAAATACCAAGCAACTGAAAGTTGTGTAGCTATATTAATATCAGAAAAAAATAGACTTTAAAGAAAATACGTATTATTGTAGATAAGAAGTGTAATTACATAATGGTAATAGGTTTATACTTACCACTAGAATCACCATGTTCTCCAATAATCCAACCATGGCAGCTTGTGGGATGAACACCCAACTTCTCCCCAATTAGGTAACGGAAACGGGCAGAGTCTAGATTACAACCACTTCCAATTACCCGAGTTGCAGGTAAGCCACTTAGCTTCCAGACCACATATGTCAAAATATCCACTAGAAGGAACAATTTGTTAGAAAAAAAATAATAGTAACTTCGTTCTACAATTTGCTTTTCTGAATAAATGGTCATAAAATCAAATACAGATTCATTACAGAGTTCAAAGCAAAGCAAGTCAACAAAGAAATTAGGAAGGATTATCTCCCATACAGATTTTTAAAAGGTTAAATTACTCACAATCAGAATTTTAAAACAAAAAAAAAAATCTCCTTTTGAGATAAAGCATGTACCTGTCTGTGTGTTTAATAATCAGTCAATTAATTTTACCTCCTTAACTACACTTAAATTTCTCCTTTCCTTCACCAGCCTCATCTAATCTATCAGCATCTCCTACCCAGAATAAGGCCACATGCATGACCAGGGTCATATGCAGATGTGAACATACTCAGAAAAAAATGTGAGAAGATCCTAAGCTTTAGCCCCATCTGTCTTTGAGGCTTTGTGCAAACAGGAAGTGAAGGTTAAGCCACAGTTGTAAACTGCCAGGCTTAGTGTTGAGGGCATGCCCTAGCATGCACACAGAGCCCTCCAGCAAGGACTGGGAGATATTTTTTGGTTTGAAAACTGCAGAGAGCAAGATGGAATCACTCGTGTCAAGGAGTGATGGGCAGTGCAGCCAAGACCAGACATCACAGAGACCAGCACCAGCTGATGACGCACTCAGAACTGATAACCAGCAGAAACAGAGGAGATATGCAAAGGCCCAAGAGTGATTAAATCATTTTAAAAGGTGAGGATTTTTGCAGCAAACTGTCAGACTCCTTAGACACTGACCCCTCTATGTCTGATCACTTCAAAAAGGGAGCTGCCACCAAAGGTTGTGCCTGATTGATCTTTGAACAGAACAGACATCCTTTGCTGCTTGAACATAATAAACATTAAACTCCAACAGCTGACCTGGACTGGACCAAGGCCTTATCTCAACTGTGCACCCACAGACTGACTTCCCATTTGGTTTGTTAGCCTCCTACCCCTATTCTATCTTGTCTGTTGTGTGACTTGTGCTTTGCTTTGTGTGACATACAAGAAGCCAAGTTAAACATGTGAATGTCATCAAGTCTGGAATCCTGAACCTGCTTTATAATTACATTAACCCTGCTTTATGACTGAATAAAGCTGACATTGTGGAAAGACACAACCCACGTGTGCCTTCATAGCATGTTCATGACAAGAACTTTAAGGAAAGTTCTGTTCGAACATCAGCTGACCACCAAACGAATGTATGTGGCCTACGACTACTGTGGCCATGTACAACAAGGAATATAGCCCTTACAAAATTAATTCATAAAAGTCATGAAACAAACTACTACAACAAGCATCAACAAAAGCAAACTCTGAAAGGGGAGAGTTTGATTTGCAGTTTATAATTATTATATTATAATATATAATATATATTATTATATTATTATATATATAATATATTATAGTATATTATTATAATTTTTTTGGCTTTTGGGTTGGGGCACCTGGGCGGCTCAGTCGGTTAAGCATCCGACTTTGGCTCAGGTCATGATCTCGTGGCCCATGAGTTCAAGCCCCATGTCGGGCTCTGTGCTGACAGCTCAGAGCTTGGAACCTGCTTCAGATTCTGTGTCCCCCTCTTTCTCTGCCCCTCCCCCACTCACACTCTATCTTGCTCTCTCAAAAATAAATGTTAAAAAAAATAATTTTTTGCCTTTTTAAGTTTTTATTTTAATTCCAGTTAGCATACAGTGTTATATTAGTTTCAGGTGTACAATATAAAGATTCAATAACTGCATACATCACCTGGTGCTCATCACAAGTGCCCTCCTTAATCCCCATCACATATTTAACTGATTCCCCCAACCCGCCTCCTGTCTGGTAACCATCAGTTTGTTTTCAATTGATGGTTTCAACTAAACCAATGTCTAGTTTTCAACAAAAATTATGAGGCACCAAATGAAACAAATAAGTATAGACAATACAAAGGAAAAGAAGCAATCAACAGAAACTGTTCCTAAAGTACCCCAGACTTTAAACAACTAACCTATCTTCAAACCCACTGGTTCTTTCCTCTGCCTTCTCCATCTATTGTTGGGCCATCTAGTGAATTTTCATTTCAGTTAACTTTTCAACTTCAGAATTTCTATTTTATTTCCTTTTTACAATTTCTTTTTTTTATTTTTTAAAAATTTTTTTTTTTTCTCAACGTTTTTATTTATTTTTGGGACAGAGAGAGACAGAGCATGAACGGGGGAGGGGCAGAGAGAGAGGGAGACACAGAATCGGAAACAGGCTCCAGGCTCTGAGCCATCAGCCCAGAGCCCGATGCGGGGCTCGAACTCACAGACCGCGAGATCGTGACCTGGCTGAAGTCGGACGCTTAACCGACTGCGCCACCCAGGCGCCCCTCCTTTTTACAATTTCTATTTATTAATATTTCTTATTTGGTGAGACTTCAGCCTCATATGTCCTTTAGTTCTTTAGACATGGCTTGCTTTAGCTGTAAATATATTTAAAATGGTTGGTTTAAAGTATTTGTCCACTGGGATGCCTGGATGGCTCAGTCAGTTATGTGTCCAACTCTTGGTTTCGGCTCAGGTCATGATCTCATGGTTTGTTGGATGGAGCCCCGCATTGGGCTCTGTGCTAACAGTGCAGAGCCTGCTTGGGATTCTCTCTCTCCCTTTCTCTCTCTGCCCCTCCCCTGCTCTCTCTCTCTCTCTCAGAATAAATAAACTTAAACAAAAATGAAGTATTTGTCTGGTAAATCTTCGTCAATTATTATGGCCTGAACTTCCAGCACAATGTTGAATACAAGTCGTGAAACCAGGCATCTTGTCTTATTCTTAATCTTAGAGAGAAATATTTCACTCTTTCACTATTGAGTATGATGCTAGCTGTGGGTTTTTCAAGTTGAAGAAATTTCCTCCTACTCATACTTTACTGATTCTTTTTTTAAATCATGATTGGGTGTTGAACTTTGTGATACATTTTTCTGCATTTATTACCGCTCTAATCATTATGTAATATCCTTCTTTGTCTCTAGTAACAATTTTTGTGTGAAAGTCTAATTTCTCTGGTATCAGTATAGCCACTCCAGCTCTCTTTTGGTTCCTGTGTATACGAAATATTTTTTCCATCCTTTTACTTTCACCTTACTGTGTCATTAAATCTAAAGTGAACCACTTGCAATTAGGCAAGAAAAAGAAATAAAAACCAAATTGGAAAGGAAGAAGTAAAACTATTTCTACTTGCAGATGACATGATCTTATATATAGAAAAGCCTAAAAATCCACAGACACACACGCTCACAAACTATTAGAGCTGATAAATGAATTCAATAAAGTTGCAGGATACAAGACAACACTCAAAAATCACTTGTATTTCTAGGGGTACCTGGGTGGCTCAGTTGGTTAAGCATCCGACTTCGGCTCAGGTCATGATCTCACAGCTCATGAATTCAAGCCCCGCATTGGGCTCTACACTGACAGCTCAGCCCTATCAAAATTCCAATGATCTTTTTTTGTGGAAATGAAAACAAAAATCCTAAAATGCATACGAAATTACATAGGGCCCCAAATAGTGAAAACAATTATGAAAAAGAATAACACAGCTGAAGAACTCACATTCTGACTTCAAAACTTAACTACAGAGCTACAGTAATCAAAACACTATGATATTGGCACAAGGAGAGACATATCAATCAATGGAACACAAGTGACAGTCCAGAAAACCCACTCATATATGGTCAATGAGTTTTAGACAAGAGTGCTAAAACCATTCAATGGGGAAAGAAGAATATTTTCAAAAAATGTGGTTGAGACAAGAGGATATCCACATGCAAAAGAATGAAATTTGACTCTTACCTCACATCATGTACAAAGTTAGTTCCAGATGGCTCAAAGATCTAAATATAAAAGCTAGAAATATAGGGGTAAATCTTCATGACCTTGAATTTGGCAATGATTTCTTAGGTATGACACCAAAAGCATGAGTAACAAAAAGAGAAAAAGATTGGCCTTCACCAAAATTAAATATTTTTATGTACAAAGTACACTATCGAGAAAGCAAAAAGACAATCCATGGAACGGAAGAATACATTTAAATCACAGATCTGATAAGAGTCCTATAGCCAGATATATAAAGAACTCGTATAAAAAGCAAACAACCCAATTTAAAAATGAGGAAAGAACTTGAATAGATGTTTCTCCAAGAAAATATACAAATGGCCAACAAGCATTGAAAACATGCTCAAGGGGCACCTGGATGGCTCAGTCAGTTGAGCGTCCAACTTCAGCTCAGGTCATGATCTTGCGGTTCATGGGTTTGAGCCCTGCATTGGGCTCACTGCTGTCAGCCTGTCAGCACAGACCCTGCTGCAGATCCTCTGTCCCCTTCTCCATACCCCTCCCCCTGCTGTGCTCTCTCAAAAATAAATAAATACAAAAAAAAAAAAAAAAGGAAAGATGCCCAACATCATTAGGCACTAGGGAAATGCAAATCAAAACCACGATGAGATACCACTTCACATCCACTCAAATAGCTAAAATAAAAAATTTAGAAAATAACAAGTATTGGGGTGCCTGGGTAGCTCAGTTGATTGAGCGTCCAACTTCAGCTCGGGTCATGATCTCATGGTTTATGAGATCCAGCTCACTGCCGTCAGCACAGAGCCAGCTTCAGATCCTCTGTCCCCCTCTTTCTCTGCCTCTCCCCTGCTCATGCTCTCTCTCTTTCTCAAAAATAAATAAACAGTAAAAAAAAGAAAATAACAAGTGCTGGTGGGGATATGGACAATGGGAACATTTACACACTGCTGATGGGAATGTAAAATAGTACAGCTACCAAGAAAAAAGCTTGGCAGTTACTAATTAACATAGAATTATCATAAGACCCAGGATTGATCGATTGATTTCTTTCTTTCTTTCTTCTTTTCAGAGAGAGAGAGAGAGAGAGAGAGCGCACGCACATGTACGCAAGAGGGAGAAGGAGACAGAAAATCTTAAGCAGGCTCCATGACCGGCACGGGAGC